AAAGAGGAATTTGGGGAATGGCTTAGATGTTTGTATTTCCAGGCAAAGCCTCACCATTTACTCTTGGAACTTTAAGAAGTTTCTTAATACAGAGGTGATGCAATTTTTTATTGCAAAGTTTATTCCCCCTTCCTCTGAAGGAGCATTTCTTGAAGACCAGCATCTTGGGCATAGAAAAGGACATTGGACAGTTGATTCAGAATTTATAATGATCCAACATGTCCATGTATTATGTAGGTATTTTAAGTGAATTGTTTTTGAAGAACTACATGCCAAGACAAATGAAAGAAATTACACATTTCTAGCTAATGCCATAACAGCAAGTAGGAATGTGATAACAGTTGATAGTGTTCATGTAGATAATCTGTTGAATATTCTTAGTTTAGATCAAATGAACAGATTGCTTTTTATTAAGAGTGGTTTTCATGACTTAACGAATCAGTTCCTGCTGAATGGCAGTTAGAATTCAGTCTTTCACGTACTTACGATGTTGGTAACTTTTGTATGTGAACTGAGCGGGACTGCGGGGTGGGGGGGTGTTCGGTTGGGGGGGGGTTGTTGTTGGTTTTAGAATGAGTTTTGTTGTTTAAAATGCCTTGCCATAGTGCTCTGGTTGCAGAGTCTTTGGAGGTTCACATATGTTAATACAATCTTTATTATAGCTGCTTCTGTTTGATTATGACAAAGTGGAATTGGCAAACATGAACAGACTCTTCTTCCAACCTCATCAAGCTGGATTAAGTAAAGTGCAAGCAGCAGAGCATACTTTGAGGTATAACTTAGAGAAGTGGGTATCAAAATGTATTTACCCAGGATGCTGCTCCAGAAAACTGACGTTTCATTCTTAATCGCTCACGGAGTAGCATGATCTAATTTGGAAAATTGGGTATAAAATAGTTGTGGGAATGATTGATACTTTAAGGACATTTTTGTACTGGCCAAAACCTTAATGTAAGTCTACTTTTTAAGTATAGCTGATTTTGCTCAGAAGCTTGGTATGAACTATACCACTTCGATATGTTGTGATTTTTCTTTTCTCATCTAATCTGTAAGTTTTTGACAAATATGGGCATATTCTAGACTTCAGACTGGAAGCTTAAGACTGTAACTACACTTGTGAAGTTAGGGAGTAGAATGCAAGTTATCATTGTATTTATTAACATTGACTCATATTATTTCCTCCATAAGGAATATTAATCCTGATGTTCAATTTGAAGTACATAACTACAACATCACAACGCTGGACAACTTTGAACATTTCATGGATAGAATAAGGTAAAATCTCTCACCTTCTGCTGGTGTGTGGCTCTAAATACACCCTCGCATTTTTATTGTTGGGTTTTTTTCAATTTAATGACTTCCAATTGAAAACCAGTGGGAAATATGTATATATGAAGACACTTCTGCCTAGATCTTTTCTCTAGAGTTGGCATTTATTTCTACTGTTACATAGTTATATTTTATATTAGTGCATCTTTAGATTTCCAATCAAAGCTTCAGGTCTTACAGGCTTTTCCCATTATAGAAAACAGATCAGATCATATTTTGACTGCTCTGGAGTAGTTTCAGGTATGCTTTATAGAATGAAGAAAAAATAGTTATTAGCAGATCTCACAGAGAAGTTCTGAAATAACTTTTCCCATTTGCAGTTATGTTGTGCAAAGATACAATTCTCCAATACTTTGTACTGAGAGTGTATACTATATAGAACTTCTTTTAATCTAAAATGCCCATATATTTAAATCCCAGCTTCAGCATGCTGTTGTTCCTACTGTAGATCTAAGATGCTAGTTGTATCCTGTTCTGCATTTGCTCAAGTTTTGTTAGAAATACACTTCCCACGTGCTTCTGTACTCTAAAGCAGCATGTTGATTGCCATGTTGGTATTTTGTTCTGCCAGCAATTTCATGCAAAGTTCTGATGCTTATTTCAGTAATGGTGCACTAGAGGAAGGGAAGCCTGTCGATCTTGTTCTAAGCTGCGTGGACAACTTTGAAGCTCGCATGGCAATTAACACGGTAAGGCCATCGAAGGCATGAGCTTGTGGAGGTCTATTTTTTCCTGTAAATAATGTTAGGAATTGTGGGGACTAGAGAAAAGACAGGAACCTACCAAGAATATTCTAAGAAATTTCCTCCTTGGTTTAAGGAAACAGAATCTGAGCTTTCACCCAGTTCTTATAAAACACATTTTATGTGTATAAATATAACTGTAGACTTTTAAGTTACTAGCAGCTAATGGTTAGTAAAAAGGTTAAGTGTCATAAGCCCTCTTTGTCTTTCCAGATTACCCTGTTTATATAAAGGTATGATCAAAGCCTGGTATGTTAAATCTTACAAACTTTTTAAAGACTATGTGTAGCTAATTGTATACTTCATATGACTTTTTGTATACTAAAAATGTCTTAAGACTGTGTACCTAATCAAACTGTTTTTCTTTATAGTAGCAGCCAATGTAGGGTATACGCCAAACGCGTGTTTTCTGTTACCCTGCAGCTAACTTGATCCATAAATTGCATGCACTGAAGGTACACAGATACACTGTATCCATGCCTCTAAAGCAGTTTGTGCAATTAGATTGTGTAGCGTGCTAGTAACTGGATCACTAATGCCTGTATTTGTTCAAAAATCTCAGGTCCTCAGGAAAGCACAAAGGGCTGGCTTCACGAGGACAACTTTAATTTGTCCTTTGATTTGTCCTTTGATAAACAATTTCTATTCTACCTTTTCATGTTCCTTTTTCTGATCATAGCCTTTTTGTCTTAATGCAGGAAGATCAATGTGTTTAATCGCTCCCAATTTACAACGTGGTGGGTTTTTTTTTTTTCTTTTCATTAAACTTCTGCAGTGCTGATGTGTGTGTTTCTGTGTTTATAAGGCCTGCAATGAACTTGGACAAATCTGGATGGAATCTGGAGTGAGTGAAAACGCAGTGTCGGGACATATACAGCTGATTATACCTGGTGAATCTGCTTGTTTTGCGGTATGCAGTGCTCTGCTGAATTGCTTGTTTGTCTTTTAAAGCAGGATTGGAAATATGAAGATTAGCTGGCTAGTGAATGTGATCCTGGCACAGCTGGTGGAGTAGCTTAAAATTTTGTGTGATCTGTGGGGGGTTTTTTAATACTTTTTTTAAACTTAACTTCTTTATTTCCCCTCAGTGTGCTCCTCCACTTGTAGTTGCTGCAAATATTGATGAGAAGACATTAAAACGAGAAGGAGTTTGTGCAGCTAGTCTTCCTACAACTATGGGTGTTGTGGCAGGAATTCTTGTACAAAATGTTCTGAAGTAAGTGACTGAGTTGTTACTATTCAATGTACAGCACAGTAAGAGAAAGAAATCTGAGGGAACATTTCATAATGGTGGGTCTGGCCTGTTTCCTAAAGGTATCATTGGACAGGGCTGAAATATACACTGCTTGAATCATTGGTGTGTTTACTTTGGAGCTGCTGTTTTTAATAGAAGTTTTCAGGGGTAAGAAAAAGTCTTCAGAGTTTTCCTAAGAATTTCTATTACTGCATACGCACACGCACATTTTTTTCTTAGTTCTGCATTTAAACATGCTCCCATTTGACATCATTAAGTTATACACAATAAATGCTACAGTGCTGACTTGTCTTTGAAGTTTCATATATGGACAAAGAATAAATAATTTCTCCTGCAGTATTTGTATTCTAAAAACCTGAGGTGAATTAAAAGTAGTTATATAGCATGTAAAATGACATGTTTTAATATTTTCAAAAAGTACTGTCACATGACTCCAACTGCTAAAAGAACTGCATGTATCTGCAGGGAAAATATTTGAACAACTTTGTACTCAGTTTCAAAATGATGCACCGTGTTTTACAAGCATCTTTGAGAATAGGGTCTTATTTAGCCTGGTTTTAGCCTTAGCTTGGTTTTGTCAGTTATCCAAAAATTTCTAGTTACAAAGACTAAAAGTACCATTTGCAAGTGTGCCTACAAACAACAAAGCTCCATTTTCAGCTGTGCGGAGAGAGGTATTATATAAAATTGCATAGCAACATGTGTTTTTCTTTAATGAAGAATGCAAACATTGCAGCTTAATTTAAATCTTTATTTTCATTGCAAATCTGACCCTACAGAAAAGATGATTACACTGGTTCTGATTAGCTGTTGAAAACTCTCCCATTGTAATACAGGGTACCTGAGTGTTTCAAGCAATGGATTAAGGCACAGGAGAAAACTGCTTACATACTACTCTAAACATGTTTTTTCTGAGACTGTAGCTGACTTGTTCTCACACACTTACACCACAAGAGGACCGGGTTCTATGTTGACGCAGTTAAGCTGTTGTCGGGTGACTACAGCTTATTTTAAGACTATTACAGTAACTCTTTACAACTTCAGTAGTGTGAAAGCGTATTCTAAAAGTTCTTTGAGGAAGAATTATTCTTTGAGCAACTGAATTTTTAGGTTTGCACCTGTATATAAGGGCCTGCTTTCTCTGTGTTTGTAGATACCTGTTAAATTTTGGTACTGTGAGTTACTATCTTGGTTACAATGCGATGCAGGATTTCTTTCCAACTATGTCTATGAAGCCAAACCCACAATGTAGTGACCAAAATTGCAGAAAACAGCAAGAAAATTATAAGGTAGAGCAACTGAATTTTTAGGTTTGCACCTGTATATAAGGGCCTGCTTTCTCTGTGTTTGTAGATACCTGTTAAATTTTGGTACTGTGAGTTACTATCTTGGTTACAATGCGATGCAGGATTTCTTTCCAACTATGTCTATGAAGCCAAACCCACAATGTAGTGACCAAAATTGCAGAAAACAGCAAGAAAATTATAAGGTAAAAATGTTTTTGTTCTCCCCCCCCCCCCCCCCATGCTTTATAAAGCTACAGATCTGTAGTAAAAGAAAATTTTCATTGCTACTCCAATTTTCAGCAGCCTTGTCTTCAGATGGTTGCATGTGTTTCTAAAAATACAGTACTCAGTTATCTTAAAGCAAAGGGTAGGCAGAATGGCTTTCATTCAGCCAGATAGTATTTTCTTCTACAATAATTGCTCAGCCTTTCTGGCAGTCATGTATTTTTGAGTGTTAATGGGTTTGGTTATTTTTAACTTGCAGGTATTCTGCCTTTTTATGCCTAACAAAGTTCTAAATGGTGACTGCATATCTTAAATATTAAAAGAAGTGTGAATATTAGATTTGACCTTCTTTGCTGTTTTTGAAAATTGGACTATTACATAATGTTTTTTATCTTTTTGTGTTTTTCCTTCAGAAAAAAGAAGCTGCACGACCGAAACAAGAAGTAATTGAAGAGGAAGAAGAAATAGTACACGAAGACAATGACTGGGGTAAGTAATCAGCTGGAGACTAAATGATGTTCCCAGTACCGAGATTCAATTAAAGTCTTTGTTTTGGGTGAACACACTGTAGGGTACATAGACTTCTTATGGTTCCTGTTTTTTGTAACTTACGCTGCGTAGTTACTGCTGGCTTTTCACAGGTTTTGACAGTAACGTTACCACAACTTGATGATGTATTTTTAGTGTAATGTGCAGGTTGGCCCCCGCCGTTTGAATACAAAACTTCCTCAGAAGATGGTCCGAAGATATGAAAGATGCGAGAAGATGTATTCACTGTGTGTTCCTTTTAAATATGTAACTAAAGAGCATTTGTCATTTCCATAACCACTGTGCTGAGGCATCAGCCTCAGAGGATTTTTATATTCCTCTGAGGGCTTTAAATTAGAAGGAATTGTCTTAAGGAATGGTAAGCGTGTTTTAGATAACCATTTCAAGAATGGATATATACACTCTGTTTATTACATGATATAGGAAGTAATCTCAGCTTACCATTGGGAGAAGTGTCCTCACGGTAAGATTTAAATGGTAAGGACAAGGGAGTCCTGTAGGAGAGGTGCCATTCTTGTCCGTCAGTTACCTGTACAGAACCATTTCATATATTGTAAAGGGAAAATATTTTGTATTGATAATGGAATGAAGTAGTTGAAATCAAAGGTCTTTCTGCTTCTAAATTTTTTTCTATTTCGGAAAAGTAGCTGCTGTTTTCCTCTTACTGTGATAACATAGTGATTAAAGAACTTTTTCTTCTAACTTGTAATGGAGTTCTCGATTCCTTCTAATGCAAAGGCATCGAGTTAGTATCAGAAATTTCAGAAGATGAGCTGAAGGCTGCATCTGGCCCCGTACCTGAGCTTCCTGAGGGAATTACTGTAGCATATACTATCCCAAACAAGGTAATGTATTTATTCTTTATGAATTTTTGAAGTACATGTTGTAGATTAAATTTATAATACCAGCCAGTTTGGTTACCCTTTAAACCTAAAATAAAATCCCATCTTGAACAATTCCAGTGAAACTGTACCTCAGTACATCTGATTAGTGCCTTCTATGGTCCAGTTTTGTGTTTCTATGAAGTATGGATGCTAGTGTGAATGTAGTTTTGAGGTGATAGGAATGAATGTGTTTGGGGGGTGGGGGAAGGAAAACAAATGTGAATTTCTCAGTTGATCTTTTGGTGACTAATGAATTTTTACCATATTTATCTTGTAAAAGCTATACGTAGTCAAAGAGCAATTAGTGTACCTGGGGAACACAGACTCTGTGTGTATTGCAGCCAGAACGTTCTAGATCCTAGTCAGAATAGTTTACAATTTAAGCTTATAATCACTTAGGCCTAATCTTGCAATTGAGTCCTTGGTTTTAGGAAAATGGTGTGGTATAATGGCAATAAAGCTTATTTGTGTGTGGGTTTTTGTTTGCTATTTTTGTTGCCAACTTTTTCTTCCTGTTCCTAATAGGAAGAGAATTTGAACACTGAGGAAACGGTAGCAGAGTCTGAAGAAAGCCTAGAAGAACTCATGGCCAAAATGAGAAACATGTAGCAAACCAAATATTAAGTACAACTTTTGGGAGTTTGGATTGACACTGGATTTTGAGAAGACCAGACTTTTTTTTTTTTTTTTTAACCTCCACTGAAGCTTATCTTTACATTTCTGATGAAGTGGAACTGTTACAGGGGCAGGAAGGAAGCTTTGTTTATATTCTGTTGTCTATTCACGTCTAGGGATTTGTGCTACTACAAATTTTAGTTTCTCAGCGTTGCTAGTGTCCAGATACTCAGTTGAAAATACAAGGAGATGGATAAACTAACAAAAGCAGGCATAGCACATTGTATGCACTATCACGTGATGAGAACAGTACATAGTGTAGGACAAGTGAAAGATGAAGTCTGCTGGAGTGGATTGAATAGGTCAAGGGCAGATGATGACCGTGCCTCACTCATATTGCTGCTCCCGATTTTCCAGGCACTCGTACTCGTCATTCACTGGTCTCTGTAATTTCTTGGTGTGGATCGTGCTGTGGCTACTTTTTCTGAGTAAACAGAACATTTCAGCCTTTTCATCTGCCTTAAATATCTCTGGAATTTTTTTTAAACTTCCCTGGTTTTATCAATGTTTTACTACTGCTTGCTCTTAAATAGCTGCCTATATGGTTTGTATATGACAGTGCTTGTAGTATGCTGCAACAAGGCAAAGTCTTTTGTTAGTAGATAATTATACTAGCAGGCTGGGTATTGGCATGCCACTATTTCAGCTGGCAGATGCTTTTCATGACAAAATCTGTATGAATTACCAGCAGCATTGGAGAGAACAGGAGACTTTGTTTCTCTCTTCAAAAATCTAAATACTATATTTTTGTTGGTTATTAAAAGTTTAGCTGTAATTCTGATTCATCCCCATCATATGGGCTATATTAAGGAATATACTTAATCTGAGTTTACATAGGAAAGCTTCTAAAATTAGATGCTCTAAACTTTGTTTAGTGTTACAAATATCTTCTGTGGAGTAGCTGAGCTATTGTATTTGTCTTGTAAATAATGTTAGTACAGTCGTATTACCTTTTAAATTATCACATGTTAAACTGACCTGTAAATGTACACATCCTGTAGTGCCAGTACCCTGCAGAACTGCAAGTGTATCAATTTCAAATATTTTACCTGTTGCGTGTGTCTGATATAGGACTTGATCGTTATTAGATTTGGCTTAGAAGAATGTAAATTTCAGCCTTTGCAGTATAATACAAATATTTCCAACTTGGGCTCCTCAAAAAACCTTTCCACAGCATGATGCAGCCAACACAGAACCAGCTAGTAATGGTAGCAGCAGTATCCAACCAGCATGTAAGAAGAGAGTAATACTGGGGAGGTGCTTCTGTTTCTTAGGGCAGCTGACTGAATACTGAGTTAAAAAAATGTTTGATTTCTAAGCAACGGTTACAAACTTCAAAACCTGTTTCCTCCACAGCTGACACTAGATTATATTATATACATGAAAATGATCTGTGAAGTTAGTGAGGGAGCTTTTGGGTGGGTTTTGGGTGTGGTGCATTATACTGTAAAATGGAAGTGTTTTTTTGGGATTGAGTTCAGTTTTGGAGAAACCGGATTTTAGAAATGAACTGTAAAGAGGGATGGGAAACAGAAAAACGAGATCATTAAAAAGGTACATACTTGAATCTGTGTCACTAAGTCTACGTTAGCTTGATCCAAGTGTCAATTTAAGTGTTAATTTACATTTCTTTGTGACTTTACCTTTCTGTTGGGAACAATAAAAGTGAGGCACACACCTGGCTCTGGAGATCCTGAGGCAAAAGGTTGACTCACTTCTACAACAGCTCAGTTAATCTTGACTCTTAACTGTTTGGCTGCCATGACTGCTACCACATGATTGACAGCTTTACAAGAGGCAACTGTTTACCATTTTACTTCATGTACAGTTTTATGAGCAAATTAATACACTTTTGTATGCCCACTTACAGAGTATGCAAAATGGTTCTCGTGTTACTTTCAGACTTTCAACTTGTATATACAAGAAGAATTTGAAATAATTAGAAAAGACATTAAGATGATTGTATGTGCCAATGGTTAAAATTATTTAAAAATAAACAGCATCAAAAAAAAAGCCGCTTTAAGGATTTTTTTTTTCATTAAGAAGACATTTACAAGTATAGTCTACTCCCACTATAAAATATAATGGAAAATTTACGATTTCTTTTGTTACGAACTAAAAAATTAAAGCACATTGCAATGGTTTAGTCCAGCTTTGTTTATTTGGCAGTCTTATAAAAGAAGCTTTCAGTTTTTACAGTGCATCATAAACGTTACTGAGATGTTGATATTCTGACTGTATGGTTAAATCATCTCTGCTGAAACTGGTGACACTGTTTTGAGGTGGAGTTCTCCTACACAGAAGCATTATTTGGCATGCACCAGATAGATAGATAGACAACTTATTATTTTGTACCATGAGGTACAACTGCAAATACACGAACAACTCTCTTAAGAGCGCTGTGACTATAGCTGCATAAGCTTACAGCCAACATGCGGCCTGGCCTGCAAGACCCTCCACTATTACTCGTGATCCTGTTCTACTTTCCGTAGAAAGTTTTCTTTGGGTTGACAGGGTAAGCGTATTGTTTCCTCACCGTCTTTGCTAACGGACCATGGCTGGTTGGGATCTGCTACTTTTTAGGGACTGTTTTTTCTTCCAAAAGCAACCCTGCAGCCTATGAATAAGTTGGAGAGAAGTCACTCAAGGGAAGAATAATAACAGTTCAGAACTGGAAATCAGGAAATGGGGAAAGTCTGATATAACACTGAAGGTCTAGAAAGTAGCTTCTTATTTAAGCTAGCAACATTAAGGAAAACTATTTAGGAGAGCAAGATACATCCTTATACATGTTAAAATCAGAACAGAGGTGACAAGCTAGACCAGACATCTGAGAATTCGTAACGCTGGCTTTAGAGGAGGGAACTACCAGGTCTGAGAAGAGTAGGCCACAGAAACACAAGCTGAGAAGGTTGAGGTTTTGGTGGGGGTTTTTTGGGTGGGGAGGGTTTTATGTTTTTTTTTGTTTTGTTTTTTTTTTTTTTTTTTTGCTGTTGCCTCTCTCCTTACTTGGTAACAATCCTGCAAAGACCTTTCCAATTTTCAAACTTTTTCAAGGTGACAGGAATACAGTGGAAAAACTCTTGCTTTGACTAAAAACCCACTTTTTGAAGTAAGAGGAAAATATCCAGAGAGCTATTAAAAAGCTATTAAAAAGTGTTAACTTTTGTTGCTGTATTGTAATACCTTCAAGAGCTATTCCTTATTTTTTTTTTCAACTAAATCTTAATCTTAAAAACCAAATTTGGGTTGTATATTTGTTCCATCAGTTTTATATACTGTTTCTTTTGTCAAGTTACAGCCTTACCAAAATACTAAATTCCTTCTAACCAGAACAAGAGCTGAAATGGGTTATATTTAACTCTACTCTAAAAGGGAAAAAATACTGTGGAAGGTAAGTATCCCTTTGAGGTAAAGGCCACTTGCATTTTTCAAACTGGATCAAATAAATCTTTACATCAGTTGCCTCTGAAACATTGTAGTGAGATTTCAATTAATTTTTCACTTACATTCAATTTTTTATAAATAGTCTTTTTTTAGTACGTATTTAAATTGATTCATGGATTTATGCACTCAATGAGAACAGACTTCAAACTGATTCTTCCAGATGACAAGGGTATTAAGAAATACAACATGCAGGTAGATTTGATGAGTGTCTCTTTATCTGATGGCAAACTATTTTGCATCACTAGGTTTTTCCAGCTAGTACAAACATTCTTGTATTTTAAGGGATTCAATGAGATTAAATAGTGAAAGTATCGCTAAAGGGTTAACAACAGGGAATCAGGTCATAATCATCTTCATTCTGATTCCTCACTGGAAGTATTTTTACTGAACACAGTTGAATCTGACAACAGCTTTAACTGTAGACGATGCTATGTTTAGCTATATTAGCTTCCAGAGGAAACCAATTATTTTTGCACAAGTCCCTTGTATGTAAGTTTGCTTAAAGCTGAAATCACCCTGCAGGTAAAACTTTCAGTGGAACTATTTTTACTTTTTCACAATTACTCTCTCTTTAGAAACAACTTAAAAGGCTTCTGAAAAGGCAGAAAGGATTGATGAAACAAAAACACACAAATCCTCTAAGCCAGTCTATTACAACATAGAAATAAGAACTACCCCATAGAGTATATTCAATTGGTTCAACCTAGCTTTTTACAATCCTGGTGCTTACGCTAAGAGGTATCAAATCCACATTTTTGGTATTAGCTATAACTTGAGCTAGTAACTAATACGTGTATCTATATAAAATGAAAGCAGCTCACTTCGTACCATGCAAGTCTGCAAAGTTAACATGGAAGGATTTCAAGCTTAAACATTTGTTTCCCTGTCATTCATGAAGACAGGTGTCGGTCCCAAAACAGTATGTTATCCTAGGAAAAATAGATTTGCCTTAATAATTTTATGTCTGCTTTAAAGTAACAATAGAGACTGCCTCTTCTTTGACCAGGTTTATATCACCTTTGTCCATGTTCCGGGAAAGTGTTTGGTGATAACGCACTTTTTAAGCTGAATGTATCTCCACTCGATGAGTGTCGAGAAGTTGCTTTTCCACCTATCAACAAAGTCTCTGCTTCTTTTATTTCCATAGCTCTCTTGTAAAGTTCAGCTGCCTTCTCAAAGTCTCCCCCTTCATAGCTTTGGGGAAGAGTAAAACAAAATTGAAACAAGCAAATAAAACAAGTCTCTCAATTCATTTAAATTGAAATGCACACCATGCATCAACAAAGTGTACTTAAGGTTCTCTACTTTCCTAGTAAGTACACAAGTCCAGGATGTTTTGTTTCATCCAGTAATTTTTATAGTAATTCGCTTTTATAGGGCTAAAGCATATAATCTTACCTCAGCACAGCCAAGTTTTTCAGAGTTTCCCCCACACGAGGATGCATGTGACCAAAACTGTCTTCATAAATCTTTAATGCACGTTCATAAAGAGGTAAAGCTTCAATCTGCTTTTTCTTTGGGTAGTAGAAAGTTACAGATGTATATTACATTTGCTATTCTTTT